CCCTTCCCTTTGCCTTTGTTGAACTTCAGGAGGTTCCTCTCCGCCCAGCTCTCTAGCCTGTCCAGGTCCCTCTGAATGGCAGCACAGCCCTCTGGTGTGTCAGCCACTCCTCCCAGTTTAGTGTCATCAGCAAACTTGCTGAGGAGGCACTCTGTCCCTTCATCTAGGTCACTGATGAATAAGTTGAACAAGACTGGACCCAGGACTGACCCCTGGGGGACACCGCTAGCTGCAGGCCTCCAACTAGACTGTGCTGCTGATCACAACCCTCTGAGCTCTGCCATTCAGCCAGTTCTCAATCCACCTCACTGTCCACTCATCTAAACCACGCTTCCTGAGCTTGGCTGTGAGGATGTGATGGGAGACAGTGTCCAAAGTCTTGCTGAAGTCGAGGTAGACAACGTCCACTGCTCTGCCCTCCTCTACCCAGCCAGTCATTCCATCCGAGAAGGCTCTCAGACTGCTCAAGCATGATCCCCCCTTGCTAAATGCATGCTGACTGCTCCTGATCACCTTCTTGTCCTCCACATGCTTAGAGATGGCATCCAGGATGAGCTGTTCCATCACCTTTCCAGGGCTGGAGGGGAGGCTGATAGGCCTGTAGTTTCCTGGCTCCTCCTTCTTGCCCTTTTTGAAGACTGGGGTGACATCGGCTTTCTTCCAGTCCTCAGGCACCTCTCCTGTTCTCCAGGACCTTTGCAAGATGACGGAGAGTGGCCTAGCAATAACATCCGCCAGCTCCCTCAGCACTCGCGGATGCATCCCATCGGGGCCCATGGATTTGTGGATGTCAAGTTTGGACAAAAGATCTCTAACCTGATCCTCCTCCACCAAGGGAGAGTCTTCCTTTCTCCAGACTTTCTCTCTTGTCCCCAGGGTCTGGAATTCCTGAGGGCTGGCCTTAGTATTAAAGACTGAAGCAAAGAAGGCATTCAGTGACTCTGCCTTCTCTGTATCCTTCGTCACCAGGGCACTCACTCCATTCAGCAACAGCCCCACATTTTCCCTAGTCTTCCTTTTGCTAGTGATATATTTGAAGAAGCCCTTCTTGCTGTCCTTGACATCCCTTGCCAGATTTAATTCCAAATGGGCCTTAGCCTTCCTCATCACATCCCTGCATACAATATTCCTATATTCCTCCCAAGTGGCCTGTGCCCTTTTCCACATTCTGTAGACTTCCTTCCTCTGTTTGAGTTTTGCCAGGAGCTCCTTGCTCATCCATGCAGGTCTCCTTCCCAGTTTGCTGCACTTCTTACTCAGGGGGATGCACTGCTCTTGAGCCTGGAGGAAGTGATGCTTGAATAGTAACCAGCTCTCTTGGACCCCTCTTCCTTCGAGGGCCGTAACCCTTGGGATTCCTCCAAGAAGGTCCCTGAAGAGGCCAAAGTTAGTTCTCCTGAAGTCCAGGACTGCGATCCTACTTATTGCCCTGCTTCCTCCTCCTCCCTTCCTCAGGATCCTGAACTCCACCATCTCATGGTCACTGCAGCCAAGGCTGCCCCCAACCTTCACATCTCCAACCAGACCTTCTTTGTTTGTTAGTGCAAGGTCCAGCAGCACACCTCTCCTTGTTGGCATCTCCATCACCTGTGTCAAAAAGTTATCCTCAGTGCTCTGCAGAAACCTCTTTGACTCTTTGTGCCTAGCTGTGTTGTCTTTCCAGGAGATATCAGGGTGGTTGAAGCGCCCCATGAGAACCAGGGCCTGTGACTGTGAGGCTACTTCCAGCTGTCTGTAGAAGGCCTCATCAACTTCCTCTTCCTGATCAGGTGGCCTGTAGTAAACCCCCACCACTGTGTCACCCATGTTAGCCTGCCCTTTAATCCTTACCCATAAGCTCTCAATTTGCTCTTCCTCCACCCCTAGGCAGAGCTCCGTACATTCTAGTTGCTCCCTCACATAAAGAGCAACTCCACCACCTTGCCTTCCTAGCCTGTTTTTCCTAAAAAGCACATAGTCATCCATGAGAGCATTCCAGTCATGTGAGCTATATCCCACCATGTCTCTGTAACTGCAATGAGATCATGGTCCTGCGAATGCACATAGTTCTCTAACTCTTCCTGTTTATTCCCCATGTTGTGTGCATTGGCGTACAGGCATTTCAGAGAGGCAATCAAGCGTGCAGGTTTCTCAGGAGAGGTGCAAGAGGATCCTCCATAGTCATGTCCTGTGCACACTTCCCCAGCTGCATGCACCTGCTGGAGGCATCCTGACTTGAGCTATGTTTTGCTGACTACCCTGTCTCTATAACTCTCCCCTTCCCCCATCTTTCCTAGTTTAAAGCCCTCCTTACCAGGCTAGCGAACCTGTTGGCAAAGAAAGACACAGGTACCCCACTTAGTGAGGTGAATCCCATCCCTCCCCATCAGCTGTCAATCTTCAAACAGGGCCCCATGGTCATAGAAACCAAAACCCTGTTGCCAATCCCAGTGGTGCAGCCAGTTGTTAACTTGGAAAATCCATCTGCTCCTCCTCCCATCCTTCCTCTTCACAGGCAGGACTGAGGATGAAATGACCTGGGCTCCCAGACCCTATGACCATCATCCGCAGAGCTCTGAAATCCTGTTTGATGGTATCCAATTTGCCCTTGGTGTCATTAGTGCCCACATGGAAGAGCAGCAGAGGATAGTAGTCTGATGCATGGAGAAGCCTTGGCAGCCTTTCCATGACATCTTGTATTCGAGTCCCTGGCAGGCAGCAAACCTCTCTGGACAAGAGGTCAGGTTGACAGATAGGTGCCTCTGTCCCCTGCAGCAGGGAGTCACCCACGACAATTACTTGCTGCTTCTTCTGGGTGTTCCTGCATGGCACGGGGGTCTGTCAGGCCACCACAACGTACAGCACATTGAATAAAAAGCCTATTTACTAAAGATATTCTTTATCAGAGGAAAATGCTTGTAAATTGGAGCTGAATGCTGATTTAAATGGAGGTTAATTAGTGGGAAAAGTGTAGCTTTTTGTGACTTATACAGTATGCATACCAGTAAAGGGGTGGACACGACATAGCTACATGCATGCACATCATGCTTTTCACGTGCTCTAATGGGGGTACCACATGCCGCAAAATAGCTTCTTACTGCTTGTCTGCTTCCTGCTCTCTTGTTTTCTGTGCTACCTCTCTTTCTAGAATAGCTAAAGTAAAAAGTATTATTAATTTGAGTTGATTGTTTTTAGATCTCTTGGTGAATATATGAAGGATATGATTAGAGCTGATGAGAAATATATTCTTTAAAAAAATTTAGCAGTTTCTGCGTTGGTTTTTGGTTTTTTGGGAGGATGGGGTGTCTTAGACCTACGCAGAAACACTGACTCCCTACTTCTGTGCAAATCACTTCCCAATTTAGAAATCCTTAAACACAAAGTTACGCATGGCTGTTCTTACATACACATTGCAAGATCAAGTTTCTGCAGATTTATGAACTACAGAGCAGGTTGCAGAGTCAATTATTTCATTTTAGGCAGAGATGAATAAAAAGATAAACTAAAGCCTCAGCCCCTCATATTTTAAGAGGTTTCTGTGTCTGTGAACTAATGAATGATGAGCAGCACACATGCATGAGCCAAGCTGTGTCATTTATTTTCTGTCCCCACATGCTGTCCTTGAATAATCTTTGAATTGTCTCTCTTTATGGAATGTACTCCTCCAGATGCTTTGATAAAGCATTTCTCCTTTCTGGAAATGAGCTGTCAAGGGACCAGGACCATTTTTGTTTTCTGGATGGTCTGTAGAGGAGAGGGAAAGAAAGAAGGGTGCTCTGCCGGTGTTGCTTCTCACTAGAGTCTTCCTCTAAGGTCAGGTGCATACAGTCCAGGTTACCTGCAGGTGAACATCAGTACAAATGTGTCACTAAACATATCACACTAGTAAAAGTATACGCTGCTTTTGTGTTGTGTAGTATACCCTACTTACTGTAAAGCAAGTCACATCCACAGAGTAATTGCAAGAATGCAAGGTCACTGCTGAGTGAGCACACGTAGGGGCAGTTACTGCAGAAGCTGATGCACTGTAAATTCACACCTCGGCCTGCCTTCCCATAAGCCCTTCTTCATGCCGTGCTCATGCCCTAAGTAAAATGGATTGAAATGGCTTTAAAAAAGCTCAGCCACTCGTAAACTCAGAACAATTTATGGGACAAACAAGAAGCAATTAATCCATCCTGATACTGAAAAAATAAATAATTTAGTAGTTAAAAGTGTATCCAAGTACCACAGACAGGCTTCTGAACCACTTAAGTATTTATTGTTTTTTTTTCTCATGAATATTTTCTCCCATCTCAGAATACATGTATTATTTTGCCTCATTTCCTGCAAAATAACACCCCCAAAGTATGGCATTCATTTGCAATTGGATAAGTAAACACAAAGAATAATCCCAGCTTGGCCAGCTTTCAATTCTCGATCCCAATCCCACAACTCACAATGTGTGAGTAAAACAAATTGCATAACTGCACTTAAATGAGCAGGTATCAGAAAAGCTGGGAGGGGAGATGAGGATTGAAAGTGAGAGCTGTTCTCAGTATGACTTATTTGCAGAGCCATCACAGGAGGATAGGTATTTTATATGTCTATGTTATATCTTTATGTATAGACACTGTGCATTGCATATGTTACCTAAGTGATATCCAAAGAAGGTGTGCATGCCCAGGGATCATGACTGTTCCACCTATGGATGTGCAGCTAATTGAGATAATTAAACATGGAGTGAAGTCACCTCAGACACTCTCTCTAGTCATTAATGTCCATGAACTGCCAGCACCAAAGTCCAAGTTGCCCTAAAGGCTCTTAGCATAAGCATGTCAGTTAGACAAATTAACTCCCTTCTCTCCCACTACCCTCTTTCACTTCTGTGTACGATAAGAATTTTTCTCTTGTTATGTTGATGTTATATACACTGCCATAACATTTTACCAGCTTCTCTTTTAAATAGCATTAGTTATAATTCTTAGTTTGAGTTTATCCTCCATCTAATGAATGTCCCATTTTTATTCTTTTTTATTTAGAAAAAGGGGTAGACAAAGGATACTATACTGTAGGAGCCAGACTGATCCGACTAGAGGATAAGGTAAGTGCATGAAAGCTTTTTTTTCTTTTTTCTGGGTAATGATATCTGATATACAGACCTGCAAGATAGTATCTTGGCATGTTTTACTTTAGAATTACGGGGCACCATAATAAGGAATAATATCCTAATTTTTGTAAAGGAGTTGATGAAGTATCACGTGCATGTTGTTCAACATTAACCATTTACCTGCCATACAAATTTAATTCTCAATTTTAAAAGGGACAACTTTCATGTTAAGGCCCACTCACGCTTGTGTTGTGGATAAATACTGTGAATTGACAAACACCTGTTTGTTGTACGAGGATCAGTGAATTAAATAGAAAGGCCATTATCAAGAGTCTTTGTAAACAGCAAGAGCTGATATTGTAGTTGATATCTTGTGGTTCCCTAATCTTTACTGCATATTTTTCCCCTGCACAGTTATCTCTGCAGCAATTCTGCCCTTCCCCCCACTTTCTTCTCTCCAAACATTTGTTCATCTTTGTTTTTAATTAGAGTTGCATAGACATTTAGCGAAAGGCTAAAGCCCAGGGAGGCCCTATTGTTTCAGGCACATTACAAACTTCCTCAAGAGTTTTTCCCACTCAAGTGATAACAAAAGTTTGCTTTAAAGGAGGAGTCTATTTCTCCAAGAGTTTTTTTGCTCAGCTCTCTTGAAGGCATACCTATCCCTAGAAAAGTGGCACCCCTACTCAGATTTATCACGCAAGTTTTCTTTTCCCTGTTTTCTGGGGAAGGGAAGAGGGAAGGAAGGCCTTCATTATTCTTAGGAAGAGTTGTGCATCTTGCAGAAAACAGAAATAGAAATTAAACAAATAGAATTCCTTCCTCCTTTCCCTAGTATCTACTGATCTTTTTTGCGACAACATTGGAAATATTCAAGGCTATGATTTCAAGGAAGAGATTTTCTTTGACTTTAGATTTCTTGGACAGTGTCAAGGAGCTAGCTTCACAGATAAATGCAGTTAATCTGAGTTAGCTCTTAAAACACACTCGTCCCTCATATAGACGCTCTCATTTGAAGTAATAGTGGCTTAATTCACTTCAGAAGGGATATAGTGCTCTCTAACCTCTGTGTGTTTTCCAAATTCACCATTGGTTCACTCAGCTATCTTTAATGCATCTATATAGATAAACCCAGAGTACAGGTTTGAAAGTTTAGCAGTAAAATTATCTGTGATAATATTTTGATTATTTTGTGTGGGAAATAGTACCAGCATTGTAAATACTTATTGCCTACCTGAAGCAGTTGTTCATGGTCTCCTGACTGCCCCATACTTATGAAGCAGAGGAATCAGAAAGTTGTTAATGTGCCTGGCACTGGTCCAGCTTTGGGGCAATATGGTGTTTATTTGCTAGCTTTTAATTTCAAGTCCTTAACTTGAGCACTGCAGAAGTATTTTAGTGTAAGAGGAGAAATGGTACAGGAGATGCCTGTGTGTTTGGTAAATGCCACAGTAAATGATCGCAGTCGCAGATATCTGCTCCTGCTCTGCCTTTACAGCTTAAACCTGTTAGAAAATCAAACTCCAGCTGATGCCAAAAGGCTATCATTTTCATCAGTACTGCCTCAATATAAATGCTTAGAGATGATGAAGTAACATGTTTTAGTTTCATCATATTAAATGTCTATTGTAAGCCTGTGGTAACCAGTCTACAGCAAGGATTTCCAACAATGTTCTTGGAAAATCCGTCACACAACTTAAAAAAACTAATGGTGTAGCCATCTTAATGTCATTTAAACATAATCTAAATATAGTTGCTGCAAGCTCAGTTTCAACCATCAGCGTGGGCAAGGCTTAGCCACTGTTCAGTTTGAAGAATTAAACCGTAGTGCTTTAACTGGCCGTATATTGCATGGGAACTGATGATTTCTATTGCTCCACTCACTGTTCTGGAGAAAATAAATAGAAGGGAATAAAAATACATCAAGATATTTTCATAAGAGGACATTATAAAAGATGTCCGATCACTGCAGCTTCCTTGTTGTTCTCCAATCAAACTACAAATGTAAAATAAAACACTAGGGTCTGACCCACATGGAACCAAGTGCATTTGTTCTTTCAGTACAGATGAATCTTCTTTTAGGTGTACAGGACTTTGTTCTGTCAAAAAAGCAGAAACTGTACTGAAAGGGTAAACATTTGCTGTGTGGGAGGTTTGCGTGTGCATGTGTGCATGTATTTGCATTTTTGGGGCACGTAAGGCTAAAATATACGTTTGCATAGTGAAAACAAAGTTAAGCTTCCCAGATATCCCTATTTTAACAGGACAATAGAGACGACCGCATCCTGCTGTCAAACTGCTTCCCCTAAACCATTTTCCTGTGTTGCACTGGCTCTCCTGCTTTAGCAGTTCACTGTGTAGTAGCTGTTATGTGCCCAAACGTGAAACAATATTGGAGTCAGGAAGGACAAGCTGGGTTTCAACCTCTGAGCAGAATAAATGAAGCAGGGGCATGTCTGACATCAGGCTCCAGCTGGTGGTGAAAAACGATCTCCCTCTTGGAACTAGAAAACCTTTGGGATCAGCCTCATCCCCCTGGAGAAATTATTTTAACATTCAGTCACCCAGTATAGTCATGGCAGCCTCCCAACCAAGTGACACATCTGATAAAATGACACATTTTTGGATGAAGGCCAGTTGGTGCAGACTGATAAAAATGCAGCACAGATTCGAACGTTTCATCTGCTTAAAAATGTGTATCAATAAGCAGTTAGTACTCTTCTAGTCCAAGCTGATTTTTCCCACTAGTATCGTTTAGTTTTTAGCTGTTTGCACAAAAGGGAATCAAAATGTAATTCACCCATTCAGAACTGTGCATTGTTCTACACACAATGATATTAACTCTTTTTATATTTTTTTTGAGACGGAGATAGAAGACTGTGTATTTCTGATGGTTAAGAGGAACTTCCTTCCCTCCTATGAGTTGTTTCCTACCATTTGGGTTATAATGTGGGGTTTGCCACGTAGAAGGCATAGATGCAGGTCTCTGAAGTGGTTACTTGGTGATAGATAAAAGCTTTGAGGCAAAAACGTTTCAAAGAGTCAAAGACAGCAGCCTCCTATTCATTTTGCATGAGCAGTGCTATCTGCAGCCTCTCATGTGTGGCTATCAAGGCTTCCTATGTAAGTTTAAGATAGCAGTGAAGAGGTAAGAACAAGTCAGCGTATGACAAAGCAATGTGTGAGCCCAGCATAAAGGAAAGTTAATGTACACTTATATCACTTTGCTTTAATTGTTCCCAAGCTGATTTGAAAGGGATGAAACGTATGGTGGCAGTTTCCAGACTATATGTAAAACCCTTTTTGGCAACCTCAGCGCTGCATAAGGCTTTACTCCTTTCATTAACATGGCATGTTGCATAGTGCAAGTTTACCCGTAGCACTTTTCAACCTGTTTTTCTCTGAGCAGGGTATAAAAAATGTATTTTATTGTGGGCAGCATAATAGCCTATTGTGGTTCTTTTCATAAAAACACTGAGACATTTAGAACAAGAATGGGGCTTCTTTCCCAACACGTGATGTGTGCCATTTGGCCGACCCTTTCTTTAGTTCAATGGCAGGGTTTAATTTTAAATTGTGGTATGTAGCCATTGACAGATTCTTTTGAAATGTATTAAGAGGGAGATTGCTTCCAAGATGATGTTCTAGAGTTGGCGTTAGTTTCTTTTTAAAATTGTAAACTAATGCTTCTTTATGATGAAATGAGTATTCTTTCTTTTTCTTTTATTTTCAAAATTAGAAACAAAAATCATGGTGTGCTATGTCAAACTGCATGGCAATCTATAAATAAAAACAGGAGAGAAAAGAATCTACAAATGAAAGGTTAGAAGGGACAGCTGTGTTGTCTTTGAAAAAGAAATCTATTAGGTATTTTTATAATTATATGGCAGTCTTCTTTATGTGGTATTTACAGTTATGATTTACGTTCATATTACCATAACTATTTCCATACTTATAGACAACATGTGATAATGCTGGGAGCCAAAAGCAACCATTTGGTAGCATTTAAAAAATGCAGAAACACTAAGAGAAAACAGGGCAGTAAAGCAGAACCCTTCTGAGCTTTATCCAGCTGAGTAATGCAAGCCAGAACAAAAGTATCATCCAACGTAAACAAATGTAGAGGTTGGATTGTGGTGATGAACTCTCTCTTTACCAGTTTAAACACTCATTTTAAAGTTGGGAGCTAAAAAGATGGACTCAGAGAAGAGTGGTTTTTCCCTATCTTCTTCGTCTTGAATAACAATAGGGAGATTGATGTTAGCAAATATGACTCCAGCTGTGATTACATCAGAAGTCATTAAATAGTAAATTATTTATCGTGATGGTGCCTGCAAGCACCACGATAGCGAAGGCTCTGTCAGAATTTCCATTATAAACCCTTAATTTGTGGGTGGGGTGAAGGACAACTGAGCTGTATTAAAAAAACAAGAGAAAAGGCTGAAAATTGGTGCACAATGAGTCAGTTGCAAAATGAGTGTGCTGCATATTTGAGGTTACAAGAATATGTCAGAAATAAACCCAACAAATGCATTGCTAACGAAAAAGCATATTTTGGCACTAAGGTGTTTGTGGGTTTTTTGCCCCTAGTTGCTTAAAAATTGAGTCATGCCTTATTATGAAGCTTTTCAGAAGGCTTTTTGCAAATGGGAGTTATGTGGGTTTTGTTAGCTACTAAAACAGGCTGATAATGTTTAAAAGTAGCTATTGTAGATGCACTGCTGTTCACTCTTGCAAATAAATTTTATCATGCATTTCATCCTGGCCCTCTGCGCTTTGCTAATATGCATGAACACTGTTCGTTTTTGGAGCTTACCTTCTCAACACAAATCTACATATGTCAATAATTAACTTAGCTAAACTGACTGACGGTTCCTGGAAGATCTCTTGTGAAGAATGGGTTTGGCTTGCTGTACATTTTCTTGGAGCATATTCAGTCCAAAGAGATGGACAAGAGGTTTACAGCAAGCGATGCTGTGAATGTGTATTTAACT